ACTGATCAGGTTGTTACTTGAATGTGTGGTTCAGATTAACAATCTTGCAACATAGGATATTTGGCACAATTACAATAGAAGAAAATACACCAGTCTCAAACATGCTTTACAATTTATTACCAGAAGTCCAAGAGTGAACCCTGGATAGAGTATGTCTTTATACCCAAAATGGAACAGCATTCATCCCTAACATCTCCCATAGATCAACCCACCCAAGTTATATACCTATAAACATATGGAGGGAAATGTCCTCTTTCCAGAATGTCCGGCATGTTAGGCTCCCAGATTGTCAACAGGGATAACTGATCAGGTTGTTACTTGAATATGCGGTTCAGATTAACAGTCTTGCAACATAGGATATTTGACAAGAGAACATTACCCTATATATGATGGAATAAAAATATATAAATTCTTCCTCCTTTATAAATTCAACTCAAAGCAAAGACAAATAAAACAATCAGGTCCCAAACCAATCCTCACTTATACTCTAATAAAGGGTACAGAATAATCACACCCACCATTCATCATTCAGTACCAAACAATAAAACTTACTACAGTTTTCAATTAAACCAATCAGAAACTAACAAGCATTCACAATGGAGAACATCTTTCCCTAATCATAATGTAATAATTACTAGTAGATTCATTACGTTAGGCGCAGACAGCAATTTCAAGTGTGGTCCTTGTAACTGCTATTCAACCACTTCTACATGCATATTTCTACATTTGTGGAAAAATATGAAGTTTATCCCTTCAAAAGAACCCTTCAGTCAACTTCCCGAAAACCAAAACATAGTTCTCAGGAGCTTCTTTACCCCCATCACTTTAATTATAGTTCAATATACACAAAATGACCAGATATAAGTTGTTAAAAAACTGTGTCATCCAAGAAACAAAAATTGTAAACAGAATGAAAAATTCTCAGTGGGAGAACTAAAACCAGTTAAGTAGATTCCTCAGTATTGATGCAACCTATATTGGAGTCCATCCAATAAAATATCACAATCAATTCTAGAATTCAACTCACAGCCTTGGACTATTCTTGTAAGAACTATACTACTCTTCTTAACTGACAAAATATATCCATAACCCACAATGTCAGTAAATAATATAGTCCTCCAAAAGCTTTGTTTCCCCAATGAGGGACTACTGAGTAAAGGTTTCTGCCCTTGGAGGGTGAAGATGAAACTTCCTCATTTTAGTCCCATATTTGCAAGTTTACCAGCTATTTGTATGATTCAGCATAGGGTACAAAAGACAAAGAAACTAGTAAGTTTCAGAAACTCTTCAACTTATTGGGGAGTAAACCAGTATAAGCAACCCGTCTTTGGATTTTGGCATAACTATAAAACTTTAGATCGCGAATAAAACCAACTACTAAATCCATCCCCATTCTATTGATATCTGTTAAATAATTCTTATTTTTAAGGTTTAAATATGATATGAAACCAAATGAAAACAAGAGAAAGAAACTATATGCTAAAGAGAGGAAGAGAGCAAATTCGAATCAAATAAATCACTTTACATATAATGTGTCAGCTTGATTAAATAACTATACTCTCTTCTCTTTTGCACAGCATTGTTGGTGCATTTAAAGGAATGAAGAACTAAAAGTTGCATATTGACATTGCCACTGTCCCTATCCAAATGGCCATGTTTGATCCCAACGTAATGGAATAGGATAAGGGCCATAACTAATAACAACAAATCATCAGTCACAGACAAGTTTTGGCTGTTATTACTTGCCACTACACTTTTCTAGTGCCATCCCTATTTTTCAGAGGCAATCTATAGAAAAATATCCACAACTAGACTTTGGTGTACCATCTTCATGTACAGACAAGGAGGACCAAAATGAAGGACAGACGCAATAACAGTGGTAGCAATTTTAAATTGACCAATTACATATATACAGTCTAGTCTAGCAACACAAGTTAAGATACCAATTTTAAAAGACAAGAACGATGTAATCAGCTTCATTCTTCAAAACTCAGTACAATCATAGTAATCATACCTTACTCAAACAACATGACATCATATTATCATAAAGTACAAAGTTAACTTCCGTCAGTAAGTCTGATCTGAAAGGAAAGCCATAACTAATCAATTGTTGACTTGCACAACAGTGGAAACCACCACCGTTGATCTTAGTTAAAGTTAATCAAGAAAGCAATAAGTACTTACATCTGTTGGGTTCCAAAGAAGAAGACTAGTACTTTCTTCCAATCAGCAGAGTAGCCCCACTTCTCTGGTTCACTTACCTGCAGCCAGAAAACCAACTTAATAATCACTCACACTGAACATAAAAAGAGACACAATTTCTGCATTCACCGTTGGGAATCACGGAAAGCAAGTCTAGTACCAAAAGCATGTGAAGAATCAAAAATCAATGCAGTGGCTGCACTTTCATAGCCACTGTGCACGAGAATCACAAGCAAATAAGATTGGGAGTTTCAACCTCCTCGTAGGAAAAAAAATAATCTATTTCCCTATCTAATTGCAGAAAAAGGAAGCGTCACATCGGACTCCCATTTCCACATGCATCGAAAAAGATTACGAGAATCCTAATTTCAAAAGGATAATACAGATATCTGAGGCACCTATGCATTTCCACTTTCATTTAACACTTCCAAATACCAAGATTAAAGTAAAATAACAAAATCTCAAACAACAGAAATTGCAAAGCCGAAATATTTACTCAATGAAATTAACCAAAGAAAGAAATTCAAAATTTCAGATCTAGAAAACCAAACCAACACAGTAACAAACTAACTAAGCTTGCAGAAAAACACAAAAACCCTAATTACAGCATATTCCTCAACTGGGTAGCCATCTTCACTCGGCATACAGCCTAAACAAACCGATAACAGTTCAATTTTCGGAGAAGAAGACTTACGGTAGCCGGCCATGCGGGGAAGCCTTTGACTTTAGCAAGAACAAGATCGCCGACCTTCCATTGGCGGCGAGCAGCGGCGGCCTGAGCGGCCTTGCTAACTCCCTTCCTCCGGCTGGGCGCCATCAAACAGCCACCGGACGCCGCTCCAATTCAATCGGAATCCGCTATTTAAACTGAAACGAATACACAACGAACTCCGGGACGGCGTGCCGCAATCGCCCAAGGAATTGAACAATCTGGCACTTCGAGGAAAATCTCAGCCGGAGATTGGCAGGCATTGAAGCACGAAGATCGATCGGCAACTGAGAGAGAGAGGGAGTGACTGAGTCGAAACCCTAATTCTAGAGAGAGAAAGATTGGGTTGGGGAGGAGAGAGAAAGAGGTGGGGGGATGAGTATGATAGAGGAGAGTTTTTATGTGGAAGAAGCGCACACACAGAGATGATGCGTTGGTTAGGTGAAGCGGAGACTAATATGCGCTAGGGGTGCGTAGGGTAGTGCAAGTTTTGTTTGGGCCTAGTGGTGGTGTGTACGTACGCTGGGGTGGGCGATATCCAAAATCCAGGCCATGTTTCAAGTGGAAACTCGGAACTCGAAACTACAATTCTGTTCGGAAATGGGCCGTGGCCCAATATGTACGCAAAGGCCCAGTTCATATTTTTGTTTCAACAATATTGGGCTTGTTTATAAAGTATTTTTAAAATTACTGAAAACGTTTTTTGTGAAAATATTTTTTTAACGAATTCTTAGTAAAAACGCAAGTGAATTCTAGGAAATCACTTAATTCAAATGCTTTTGGAAGAAAAAACATTCTATGTAAAAGCGCTTTTAGTCATTTTAAAAACACTTTCAAACGAGTCCATTATCTTTTATTTTATATGAATAAAAACTACAAAATAGTAATCTTCTCATATTCACCTTTAATGTGTCTAGTATTATTAGAGGGAAAAAAAACTGAATCGAACTAAATTTTATTGGTTCAATTTTAAGAGTTCGGAAACCAAATTGAACCCAACCAAAACCCTTCAAAACGACGATGTTTTATGTTTAATATTTGACCTTAAGGTCTCTAACAAACCCTCCTCAGCTGCTCTCACTCATACCTCACCCCCCGCCATCTAACTGACTCCTAATTCTTTCAAAACTTCTAAACGTGGTGAGAGTTATTGAATAAAGAGTTGTTTTAATCTACTTGGTTTAGTATTTTATTTGGACCGTGACTTTCATTTGATAATGAGATCAATAAAAAAGATGCACATCCGATGATATATCAAAGCTTTTGCAACCCCACATCAGTAGTCATAACTTCGTCCTTCTAAAAGGGCAACCCCAAGTCAATAAAGCTCTCCGGTTTGTTAGAGTTGGGGAAAATAGGAGAATGCTCATTGTACGCATCATTACTCTTACTTTGCAAAGAGGTTGTTTCTACTGGTTTAACATCGTCCTTCTATGCTTCAAAAAATAAATGCTTTTATACACGTCTTTCATGCCTCTAGAGAGTAAACAAATAACGAAGCAATACTTTTTGCAAGCAAGGATCATGCATTCGCAAGCAAAGGATAGTAAACATAGATCTATCCTCGATTTCTAAATACCTGAACAAAAAATGCCACTCGAAAGACCTGAGAATATATAGCTACGACGCACTAGTCGCATTACTATGAACAGTAACGACAGTCATATGGAGCATATTAACAACTAACAGGCAATGACATTGCTCAATAGAACAAAAAAAATCTTACTCACTAACATCAGGAACAACCCTAGAAATGTTCATCTTTTTGGTGGTTCTATTATACAAATCCTCCAAAAATCTTACATATTATATCATCTCTCTATTAAAGACAGAACCGACCAATACACACACGTAGTACCAGTTCTACGTGATAAAATAGCATTTTTGAACTGAAGTACAGACACAGTTACATGCCGTTTTTTTAATACCATTTTAAGTCGTGCCCCTGACAAAGCGAATGGTAATTTTTGGTACTTTCCTCCGTAACTTGACCGCGTCACGACAAAAATATGGAACCGAAAGCCAAACAAACTTTAGGTAAATCGATTGAATCACACGTGGAAGCATATTATCCCAACACGTGTGAGGGAACGGGATAATCTAGTGGACTCGTGTTCGACATCCCGCGACAATCGACCAGGAAGAACACTCTCAGATATTTTTCGCCACCAAAAAGATATTTCCGATTCCGAAATACAAGCTGGTACGTGGCAGCTCCTCAATTATTCCCAATTCCTGGACTCGCTATCGCAATGATCTACGCAATCGCAAACCACCACGCGTCCGTAAGCGAATAAATAGTCGACACGTACCCCCGACTGGCCAACCACTAAGAATAGGACGCGTGTCCAGATACTGTACTCACGGCGCCACTATATATCAGCTCGCGGCCCTAGCTGCATCTTGAAAGGGAGACGAAATTCAGTCCGGAATTTTTCGCGATGAATGCGAACCGGCGACTGAGACCGAACCCGCCGAGCGAGCGGTCCGACTCGGACGACAACGGGATCCTGAATGAGCGGATACTCTTCCTCGTCTTCCAGTCCATGGACTGGGACATCCAAGCGCTCTCCTCGACCGCGTCGGTGAACCACAAGCTCCGGGCGATCGTGAAGCGGCTGCTGTGGCGGGAGCTCTGCAAGTACCGCGCCCCGCGCATGGCGGCGGCGCTGGGGAACTGTGCGCCCAACGGCCGGATCGGCGGCGGATGGCACACGCTCGCGAAGCTCATGTTCTTCTGCGGCGGATGCGAGCCGACTCGGAATTTCAAGGTGAGTCAACCCACCCCGGGTCACCTAGTCAAATCGTCGCGATTCTCAAAGACGTCGGGGCAGAGCTTCCTCACGAAGAAGTGCCGCGGCGATCTGCTGTACGTCAGCGACCCCTGCGAGCATCCGATGGGGGAGAAGGAGGACGATCTGGGGATTTACAGAGGGGTATTTAAGGGATTTGACAAGTCGCGGACGAGGGCGTATTTGATTGGACGGCGGGTGAAGCTCGAGGAGCGGGTAAGGTGTCCTTATTGCGGGGCCCCCGTTTGGAGCATGACTACGGCTGGGCTCGTCCCGAAGAGCGCGGCGCGGCGGCTCGGCTCGCACCACGGCGCGTTGGAGTATTTTGTTTGTGTGAGCGGGCACATGCACGGCATGTGCTGGCTCGTGCCGCTGTCGGACGATGAGAATGGATTGAGCGAGATGAACGGCTGTGATGATTCGGATTTTGATGATGATCATTACGGTGGGGTCCGCAGAATCAGCTACGACGATCGGACGGCCACGAATGGAAGCATTGGGTCGATGGGGGAGGAAGTTGTGGTGGACGGGCCCGCAAAGTGACAGCCTGTCAGTCTGTTGCTTTTTCGTATTCCCGGTGATTCGCACCCTTGCGGTGTCGTTTTGCTGATGTGGAGATTTTTTGTTAGGTGTGTGATGATGTGGAGGTTTGGATAACATTAAGTTAGGCTGACGTGTAATTTCTTACTTGTTCGTTGGAATTATATTTGTGGAAAGTAGTGATGGGGGAATATGGGATTTTGTATCGCCACTTGGGTTTGTCGATTCTATCGACCACAAATCGCATATTCCACAAGTTCATGTTCTTTTGTTTCTTTCGTTGTACTGTTGAATCCCCTTTGTTTAATTTGTGGGTTTGATATTTATTAGTAAAAACCTACTATTGTGTAGTACACTACGCTCTTTTTTATATAAAAGCGATGTCAGGATTTCGAGCGTGAAGTAAATGTTCGTAACTATTTAAGTTATATTATTTTAAAATCGGACATAATATAGCTTATGTTAAATTAATAGGTCCATGGATGTTCATCAATAATATCATTGATCAATATTGTTTTAACTTAATCATAGATGTTGAGTTTTATTACAAAAGATATTGGTGATATTAAGAGGGGAAACTCACATATTAATTGTGTATTATTTTGCCATAAGATAAATAACATATTCTCCAATACACACCCTTATAAATCGCCCAACACGAGGTCACAAGGGACAAGAATTGGTCAAGTCATTATGTCGGAATTAATGCCGATCTTTTCGAGAACCGGTTTAATTGGTTTCAATCTTTGGAGCCAACGCCAATCTTTTTTAAGGCATATTCATTCAGTTGTCTTAAGTTGGAGCTAGCTCATTTTTTAAAAGCCCAACTTTAGGGGAAGAATGTTTGAGCCCAATAACTCAGGCACAAGATGTGCCGAAAGAATAGCCTGGTCTAATACTATGATAAACTTACATGCCCAAAAGGGTCAACCACCAATATCATTAATATTTTATCAACTTAACCAATTGTTACTAGTTGTTGAGTGTTATAACAAAATATCTCGGTGATATAAAGATCGATCGCAAATTAGATTTGTCTCATTTGAATGTGATTTATTACAAGTAGATTGTTTAGATTATCAAATTGAAAAGTATCTATTCTTTATTATACATTTACAATGTAATCAAGCAAATAACATCAAACGCAAACAAAGTAATTTTTTTTTTAACAAACTAATATTTGATGGAAGAAGAAAAACCACGAATAAGTAAGAGTATGTAGAAGAAGAAAAATTGTGTTCGATCAATCGGATGCGGATTGTTGTTTGGAATACACACTAAGGCTGCCACTTAGTAATACGATGTAATGGTATTCATCTTAACTTGCAAATGAGAAGTCTTGAGATATATATTGTATTCTTAGCATTACCATTTTTTCAATGTGCTTGGTTTGGCGAAAAACAGGAGGCAATGTTGAAGGATACAGTCGAGCGCGCAACGGAACCAAACCTGAACTTGATGACCTATCTGAAGGACGCTTACGTGCACCCCCTTCTTCAAGAGAGGGCAGATGCAGAAGCAGGAAGTAGAAGTTGATGAAGAAGAGAGCAGTCCTCTTGTTCGTACAAAGAGAACGCCTCAAATGGGTAGTAAACACGAATCTGATGCCAGTCCAGAAATTCGCAGTTAGTTTTTCCTTCCAGCAGACACATCTTTTAGGATCAAAGCCTTCTTCTCGTTCTTGTAAATGCATAAGGATCATTGATTAGTAGTATTTATTATGTGGATATATAATAGGAGCCTAATTTGTAATATTAGAAAGCCAATGTAGTGATGGGTTCTAATTTCTAGGCCTGACAATTTTTTTTAATGACTCGTTAATACGACACGAAACGACATGAAAATAACAGATTTCGGATTAACCGGTTAACGAAATCGTTCTTGTAAATGGATTGAGGATCATACAAAATCGTTCTGTGGATATATAACAGGGGCTTAATTTGTAATATTAGAATGCCAATGTGGTGATGGGTTCTAATTTCTAGGCGTGACAATTTATTTTATTTTATTTTTATGACCATTAATACGACACGAAACAACATGAAAGTAACAGGTTTCAATATAACTAGTTAACGAGTCAGGTTATTATCGTGTCACCCCTTAAGAACATGTTAACGAATCGAATCGTTGTTGGATCACCCGTTAAGATAATGGATATGATATGTAATTGACGCAAACGCGATTGTTTGCAAGTTCTAGACATTAGGCCAGACAACTTCTTGCATTACCGATTATCCTGACACGAAACGACACGATCAGTTAACGAGTCGGGGCATTATCGGATTACCTGTTAAAAACCCATTAAGATAACGAGGTTAACACGATAGATTTATTAAGATAAAACGATACGAATTCGACAAACATGAGCCATTTGTCAGGTCTACTCATTTGTTTATTTTAACATGAGTTTATTTTTTATTAACAAGTGTAATCGAGAATATGTTGAAATTTTAAAGATGGGCATGCAACCTACTACTAATTACATTAATATTATCCCTATTTAACATCTTGCATAACTCGACATGTGTTGAGTTTTATCAGAACTCGGCACAATTAATAGTAGAACGATTCAACATAAAGATGATTTAACTCTATAACTTTTTGACATGTGTTGGTAATTTAGATAATTTCGTTAGAACTTTTTTTTTTTTTGGTTAAGAAAAGCTTCATAGAAACCAGAAAGGCACAGAGGCCTAACAAACACACAGAGGACAGTCCCACAAGACCATCAAAAACAGAAACAAAGAACAAGACCCCAAAGACACCGTCCAAAGGGCTCAAACATACCACCACCCAAGCAAAAACCCTTCACCCTTACGAGTAAGGACATGGTAACCCATCTTTGTTCAGAATGTCATCTTCGTTAGAACTTTTATCCTTTATTTTTCTCTCAAAATATTTTATTTTAGACGAAAGTTTTAACGGTATCACTCAAAATGGTCATTTGCTATAATTTTTTTTGGGTAAAAGACTGTTTACTACCATCATGTTTCATGGTTTTCAACATTTAGTACATCAATTTTTTTTCGTCTCAGAGTCATACCTAAAGTGTAAATTTTGGGACAGTTTCATACATCCGTTAATCAAACTGTTAATTCTCCCGTTAAGTGATGATGTGGTGCCCATGTGGACAATGACTGGGCGCCACGTGTCATTAAAAATATTAAAATATTATTATTAAAAAAAAAAAAAAACCCTATCGTCTTCCCCACCCCAACCCCCCTCCCTTCTATCTCCCTTCTCTTCTCTGCACCTACCCAACCCCCAACCTCTGCACCTTCCCCCACCCCTATATTCCCCCACTGCACATCCAAATCAAGTAAATTAACCCGTCTTCCACCTCCCTTCCTTTTTCCCTCTGCAACATTCACTTCGGCTCCCCCTTTTCTCTCCCCTATTTTTATCCCCCCTTCTCCACAACCACCACCTCCTCCACCATTCCTCTCCTAACCCTACCCCCTCTTCCTCCTCATTATCCTGCACCCCAACCCAACCCCACCCCTTGTCCCTCTTCCCTGATCCCCCTAATTCCTCCCTCTTCACCTCTCTCTCCCAAGCACCCTCCCTCTTCACCTCTCTCTCTCAAGCACAATCGATTGAAGGGTCCATCATCGAGTTTGGATCTGAGCTTCTCCATGTCCAGCAGGTGCCAAAGATTTTGTCCTCAGAGCCGCCCAGCTCCTCGAAGCTGCAGGACGAGCTTCAAACGGGTCATAGAGCAGATCCAGGTCGTCGAGATCAGAAAATGGATCTCGGATTGGGTTCGACGGTGGTAGGAGCCCCGGAACGGGGCGCTTGGAGTTGCGTCTGGCAACGGCTGCGCCATGCGTCTTGAGAGCTGGAGCTCGGATCCGGTTTCGGGTTGGCTGGATCTTGCATTTTGTTAAGTCCAGTTTCAGGGTGGGGGAAGGTGCAGAGGTTAGGGTTGGGTAGGTGCAAAGAAGAGAAGGGTATTTTGTCGAGTCCAGTTTCTGGGTGGGGGAAGGTGCAAAGGTTGGGGGTTGGAGAGAGAAGGGAGGGGGGGGTCGGGGTGGGGAAGACGACAGGTTTTTTTTTAATTTTTTTAATAATAATATTTTAATATTTTTAATGACACGTGGCGCCCAGTCATTGTCCACATGGGCGCCACATCATCACTTAACGGGAGAATTAACAGTTTGACTAACGGATGTATGAAACTGTCCCAAAATTTACACTTTAGGTATGACTCTGGGACGAAAAAGAATTGATGTACTAAATGTTGAAAACCATGAAACATGAGGGTAGTAAACAGTCTTTTGCCCATTTTTTTTTGTTAAAATATTATTATCTTTACAAAGTTTAAATTTTAGCAAAAATCGAACGGTCGAGCAATTTCATAGGACAATTCAAGTTCACTCTTACCCATCTCGATCTCGATCGGCTTTGCTGCGCTCTGCGGCCATAAAATCCTGACAACTTTCCAAAAACCGAAATCCCACGCCTCTCAGCTCTCTTGTCCTCTCTCTCTCTCCCTCCCCTTCCTGCTGCTTCTGCATGAGTACGATGCTCACTGAGCAAGTCTAATTGTGTAAGCAAGTCTAATTGTGTAAGTTAGTTCATATCTCCCGCTTTGTTGTAATCAAATCTCTCAATTTGTTAATGCTTATGATCTTCTTTCTGGTTGGTTAGCTGCTGATGCAATTAATTATGAACACCCTTCTGGATTTTTTTATTGTTTTTACTTGAATTATGACCAACCCATCTTAGATTATCTCAAACTAAAATCTGGGTTTAGCTTCTTTTCTTGATTCACACAGTTTTATTTTTATTTTTATTTTTTATCATTTGATAGTTTTTGATCATTTGTGACCATTCTCATGGATCCTGTTCTTTTTTATTTATCTGTAAAATGTTGTCATTGCAATTTGCAATTTCATGTTGCAGCATGAAAAATTGGAAATTATGCTTCTTTATCGAATGCCGGTGATTTAAGAAGTTTATTCAGGAGATGATGATTTGCTAGGGTCCAAAATATTAGGGAGATTTGGAAAAAAATTGTTTGTTTTTAATGAAAAATTAATATGCTTTCTTTTGAACAGAATGCCTGTGCACATTTGACTAGGGAGACCTTCGTGTTTGAGGCTCTAGGATGGCAACTCTTCCGCTGTCAATCGCAATACAGGCCTCCTGTTGTTTGAATTGTGGAACCACTGAATTGCCTAAGCTGACAGCTACGGATCGTTATGGACACAGGAACAACGGTGTTCATGGTTATGTGAAATTGGGTACAGAAAGAAATCTAGTTTTACGAGAAGTTGTGCAAATTTTGAAGGAAAGGCCTCTAAGGGACCGTGAATGGAAAGTGTATGCTACATCCAGAGTTTCTGTTGAGCCAGTGGAGCAAAGAGTCTCCACCGGTACTGAAACTGAAGAAGTAGGCAAGGTATCAACTTATCTATTTAGGACAGACACTGGGGATCCGGTAAATGTCTTTGTTAGAAAGAGAAATGCCAAATACGCTGTGAATATCGAAGTTTCATTGTTGCACCTGTCCAGAAGTGATAGGAGACTAGTACTGAGTTGGGGAATGTATAGAGCTGATTCATCTAGTTTCGTGCCTTCGAATTTCAGAAGTTCGACCCCAGCTGACAGAACTACTGCCCTTGAAACTCCATTCACTGGGACTTCTTCTGGCAAGTTTACTCTCGAATTGGAGTTTGAGGCTAAACAAATCCCCTTCTACCTCTCGTTTGTTCTGAAATCTCCCGCAGACGCTGATTTGAGTGACTTGGAAATAAGAAGCCATAGGAAGACAAATTTCTGTTTTCCAGTTGGTTTTGGTCGAGGCTGTCCTGCTCCATTGGGTGTCTCTTTCTCTAATGACGGTTCTATGAACTTTGCCATCTTTTCAAGAAATGCAGAAAGTGTAGTTTTATGCTTGTATGCTGAGACCACAGCTGAAAAACCTGTGTTGGAGCTCGATCTAGATCCATATGTCAATCGATCAGGTGACATCTGGCATGCGTCATTTGAAAATGCATGGGATTTTGTGAGCTATGGTTATAGATTTGATGAAGGGAATGTCTTGCTGGATCCATATGCTAAGATCATTGCGAAATCAGTTCCACATGGGACAGGGTCGAAGTATCTTGGAAGACTATGTGAGGAACCTGCTTTTGAGTGGGCTGGTGATGTTCGGCCTGACTTAACGCTGGAAAAACTAGTGGTTTATCGGTTGAATGTGAAACGTTTCACCAAACACAAGTCTAGTAAGCTACCAACTAACATAGCAGGCACATTTTCGGGTTTGACAGAGAAGTTGGAGCATTTTAAAGCTCTTGGTGTGAATGCAGTTTGTTAGAGCCGATTTTCCCATTTGATGAGCAAAAGGGTCCATATTTTCCTGTCCATTTCTTTTCACCAATGAATTGTTTCGGACCTCCTAGAGGGCCTGTATCGGCTGTCATTTCTATGAAAGAGATGGTGAAAATTTTTCATGCCGACGGAATAGAGGTCCTACTGGAAGTTGTTTTCACCCACACCTCTGAGGGTGAAGCTATGCAAGGAATTGATATCTCATCGTATTATCACGTAAACGGGGTTGAGGATTTGGAAGCCAGAAATGCTTTGAATTGTAACTATCCTGTTGTGCAACAAATGGTATTGGATAGTCTTAAGTACTGGGTGACTGAGTTTCACGTTGATGGCTTTTGTTTTATAAATGCATCATCTCTGTTGCGAGGGTCTAATGGTGAATACTTATCTCGTCCGCCTTTGGTCGAAGCAATTGCTTTTGATCCTCTACTCTCGAAGACCAAGATCATCGCAGACTGTTGGGATCCCCGTGGCTTGGTACCAAAGGAAACTCGCTTTCCTCACTGGAAGAGGTGGGCAGAAGTGAATACGAAATTCTCTAATGATGTGAGAAACTTTCTGAGGGGTGAGGGTCTTCTCAGTGACCTTGCTACACGGCTTTGTGGGAACGGGGACATCGTCTCAGATGGACGAGGGCCAGCATCCTCTTTCAACTTTATTTCCAGGAACTCCGGACTTTCTCTCGTGGACCTCGTTAGTTTCAGTGGTGTTGAGCTAGCTGCAGAACTGAGTTGCAATTGTGGGGAAGAAGGGCCTACAAATAAAACCGCTGTACTTGAAAGGCGACTTAAACAAATTCGGAACTTTCTCTTTATCTTGTTTGTTTCACTCGGCGTTCCTGTTCTTAACATGGGAGATGAGTACGGACAATCTGCAGGTGGTTCCCCTGCATACAGCGACAGAAAAGCTTTCGACTGGAACGCACTGGGAACAGGTTTTGCTACTCAAACCACACAATTCATCGCATTTTTAAGTTCGTTTAGGATAAGGCGGAGCGACCGACTTCAGAAGAGGAACTTCTTGAAAGAAGAAAATATAGACTGGTACGGGAGTGGTCAATCTTCTCCCAAATGGGAAGATCCATCCTGCAAATTCCTTGCCATGAAGTTGAAAGCAGACAAAGAGGAAGCGTACGAATCAGGAGACGATTCTTCCCCTTCATGGGGTGACTTATTTGTTGCCTTCAGTGCAGCTGATCTATCAGAAACTGTTATTCTGCCTCCACTGCCGGAAGGTATGGGATGGTTCCATTTGGTCGACACGGCTCTTCCATTTCCAGGTTTTTTCTCAACTGACGGCGAGCCAGTTGCTGAACAACCGGCGGGTTTATTTGCGTACGAAATGAAGTCTCACAGTTGTGCTCTGTTTGAAGCCAGAAGCTTGTAGCTCCAGTAAAGTAGCACATAGGGCACGGGCACGGGCACTGCTGTAAATTCCATGTAAATTCAAGAGCCTTTTCCTGTAATTTCAATGCCATTAATTTTCGATTAAAGCAATAAAATCATTAATTTTCATTGAATAATCTTTGATCTTTTCAAGCCAACGAAAAACCCTTTACCCCTTCAGCAAGAAAAAGAAAAGGCTACAAACTCTCTCTCTCTCTCTCTCTCTCTCTCTCTCTCTCTCTCTCTCTCTCTCTATATATATATATATATATATAAAACATAATTTTGCTACCACTGCAAATTAATGGCCAGGTCTAGTATGGATTCTACTAAGCGTATGGCACGTTGCTTCTCCTGTTGCTTCAACCGACTAGCAATGGCTTCAGGATCAAGCCCTTGTGCATTTTGTACTTCACTTTGCTCAGCCCGAACCTCTTGCAGCAATGCATCGACCTCTCTAACAAAGTCCACCCTCAACAGAGCATCGTCAGCTTCAACTGGTAGCCTGAGTGGTCCTTCGTGCTGATAGAGGAAAAAGACAATCAAATAAAAAATGACGTAACAGTTACAAATTCGTTAGCATCACCATCTGTTATGAGTTGATCAATAATCTGATAATACTTAAAACTTGTTTTGGGACAAAAATTTGTTTCCAACAATGTTCATATGCATTTTGAAGTGTAAACTGTCTTGTCCGTTTACAAGTTTCGATATTTTTCTTCACAGATTAAAACTTTTCTGCTGGAAATCTGGAAACAATCAATCATAATAAGTCTGCAATCTGCAAATTCGAATCATACCTTATCAATGTCAAATCCTGCTGGAACAAGAATGCTAAATGGATCCTCTCGTGGAAAAGTATCAATCATGCGCTTTTTGCATTCCTTCAGCCACCCTTCACCATCGAACCCATCATGCATATTCAAAAGATCGTTGAGCAGTCTCATGGCAGGAGTAGCCTCCCTTTTCAAAATCTCAGCCTAAAATGTTAAGTAGAACTCAAATTTTCTGATTGCCTTTGAAGAATATAAAATTGTACACAACGAGTTAGGGTGTATTATCGCTAATCTATACTAATTATGTAAGATATTCTACGCTGAAATCATTGAGTGATTGCAATAGCTCAAATTCTCCCACTTGGAATGGAATCAAAGTATAAAAAGGTTAACAGCTGATTCCAAAATACTAAAATCAACATTTCATGGCTAGAACATAGAATAGGATGAGAGCAGCTCGTACCTCGACCCTTCTGTATAGCAAATCGAGACTTCTAATAACATCCTTTTCATCCTGTAAAGAGATCATAAATACCCAAAATCAATAAGCTGGCGAGCGTGAGAGATAGAGAGAGATGACGACAGTTGAAGAGTTGGGAGGAAAATGTGATAGGTTATCTATAACATTAGACTGATCCAAGCTACTTATTAGGTTGAGTATGTTGATCTCAAGCAATCAGTAACCATTGCCCGTTTGTAGAGGGCAGCCACTGACTTTTAGGTTACAGAAAACTTCATTTCTATAGCTCTGAATCAGTTTATTTCAGAATCATATTCTACCAAGTTATGAAAAAATTAAAGGAAAAAAATTAAATTTTCTTGACCACAATTCTGATATCATGTCACCGCAAAAGTTTGAAATTTGAGCTAATGAAACCTTACAATTACAAATACTACTAAAGATAGGTCACTGTGTTGGTCATCAACAAACATCAGCACAACCACGAAATTGTCATAGTCCCATCAACTTACATCACGTCGAGCGAGATCAAGGCGATTCCATATGACCATCAAAACAAGTTCAGTCAGTTCCCCTTTCTCAGCAGCTTCCTCAATTTTCTGCATATGAATCATGAACATCAATTAAACATCAATTAACTCACAGTCCGAGTACAAGTACAAAACGCAATAAAACAAACTTAAGAAACTGAAAGTGATCGCAGTGAAAACTGAATGTCTTCCTAAAAGACTAAAGCCAATTTTAGCACAATGGGATTCCTGAAATCACCTCTTCCACTTCTTCAGCTGCTCTGATAAAGCTCGAAATCAGCTTCCGAGCATTTCGGACATCTTCTTCAGGATAATCCTTCAATCTCATGCCAATCTCCCTATACTCTTCAACCTTCCTCTCCTCCTCTTCGTCTTCCTCTTGGCGCCTTCGATTGAGCTCCTTCGTCTTCTCCCTTTGCTGAGCTTGCCAGTCCTAATTCAGAAAAAGCTTACTTCCACTTCCAGCTTCCAAAACTAGAAAACATGCTAACAAATACCGCTACTGAATTCGGCAAAACCCATAAATAAAATACAAAACTTTACACGTACAATCACAGAAAAACATGAAATTTGAGCACCCATTGGCTAAATTAAAGGATAAAGGGCACTCACATCGTCGTAGTACTCTTTTGGAAGACCTTCTAATACTGGTTCTTCCTTTTTCACGCTCTTCCTCAAAACTGCCCATCAAAAACCCAGAAAAAGCATACAAATTCAGAAAAGAAAGGTTCAAAACTGCCATAAAAAATCCAGAAAAGCATAAAAATTCAAGAGAAAAAGTTCAAAAGCTCCAATTAAAAACCCAGAAAACGTACAAATTTAATAGAAAGAAAAAGTTTAAATTTCAAAAACCAACTGATGTGAGTGAACAGTGAGAGGTTGTGCTATGCACCTGAAACATATTTTGGCTTCAACTGAGAGGACCAGAGCCTTGCATGCGAGGAAGATGACGATGGCGTCGGCGAAAGTGGAGGCGCTGCGCACGTTAGCTGGAACACCCTCGCTTCCATTTCTCTTGTTTTCGCTCGATGAGTGTTTACAGGGCGAGACTGACTGTCAACTCTAAAAGTACTGATATTTTTTCATGTTAAGATTGTTCAGTGATAAAATGATAAATTTATCCATAATTTTTCTTTTTATAATTATTTTGCCCCCTTTTTATTTTTTAACGATCTATATTATCTACACTAAATGGTTGAAAGTAGGTTAAGTCTCATAATGAACGAGCCATAATATTATGGTTCCAATTCAGCTTTAGCGAGAATCAAATTTAAGACATCTCGCTCATCGCTATTAGCCTCGACACTAGTCTCGCTTCTAAATTATTCCGAAATAGTAGGCAAAGTGTTGGCAAATATATGTAAAAAAAAGGATCTAGGAAAGAATAGACCTCGGAACCTTAAATTATATTTTTTTTTGGAAATTACTACAACATAGTGGGAATTATATGAAGGGTTCTTACCGGTAAGAACGCGTTCACTTATTGAGTTGAAAATTTACAAAGGTTATTACCGGTAAAAACACTTGTAAATTTCAGTTCTACAAATGAACGTGTTCTTACCGATAAGAACACATGTAAATTCTCAGCTCCGCTGATGAACGTGTTCTCATCGGTAAGAACACGTTCATATATGACTAGTGTCCTGTTTTGTACTAATTTATGAACAATAAAAAAAATTTAGGCCCCCTGATTTGGTTTCCTAGATCCTTTAAAAAAAATTATTCCGAAATAGTAGGTAAAGTGTTAGAAAAATGCATGTCATAACAAGTATGTTTAGGGGTGGTTCGGTATGGGATACCATACCGAAAAAAGTATCCTGAATCCCAAACCGAAATTTTTCGGGACGGGAATTTGAAGACCAATCCCAAACCAAATTTTCGGGAATCCCAAATTGAAATATGAAATTATGAATTGTTCTTCAAATATATAATTCAAGAACACATTCATGAACTAGGAATGTCATTTCATTCACACTACCATTTAATCGAACACTAGCATGTCTGACTATTTTTATCAGAGTCAAAATTCAAATTAATTAAACTTTTTTTGCAATCTGTTGAGAGAAAAAAGAATCAAGCCTTTTAAAATCATCAGCCATGACAACAGCAATAATAAAATCCAAATGAATATCAAATAGAACATGAAAAATATACAAGGTGTAGGGCATTCCAGGTTGCAGAGCATGAATTAGAAACTGCTACAATTATAAAAGAATAATATATATAATATATATGTATAAATATATATATATATATATATATAAAATAATTAATATTATATATTTTTGGTTTGGTATGGGATTCCCGAAATATCAAGAAGCCAATCCCAAATCTCGTACCGAAATTTTGGGATCGGTTCGGGATAGCATCTCAAAAATTTCAGGAATTTCGGTTTGGGAAATTTTTGGTTTGGGATCGGGATTTTTTCGGTTCGAGATTTTTGAGAATTTTTCCCACCCCTAAGTATGTCATATCCCGACCCGGGCCCCCACCACATCTCGGACTCGATTCCGTCGTAGCACGATATTGTCCGCTTTGAGCCAGGTGACGAAGCCAGTGCAGCTCGATTCGGAGTCCTAGTGGACATTCTGGGTCGGGGTGTGTCAAGTATCTCGAGTTATCGCTAGAATGCAGGGCATAACATGTCTTGACACGCTAACTCTCCCATCGTGGCACATCATAATAAGCATTGTGAATTGTCAACATAATGCATGGTGTGTCATGACATGCATTCTATCGACAATTTGCGACGCTTGTCATGTTAGGGTCACTAACGATGTTTTGGCGTGCTACGATGCGAGGGTTAGCATGTCATACCATGTATTTTCTAACGTTTTGACAAGCTAATATTCGCATCGTGGCACGCCAAAACATCACTATTAGCCCCGACACTAGCCTCGCTTCAAATTATTCCGAAACAGTAGGCAAAGTGTTAGCAAAATACATGTAAAAAAAAAGATCTAAGAAAGAGTAGACCCTGGAGTATTAAATTATTTTTTTGGAAATTAGTACAACATAGTAGGCAATTATATATTAAGGGTTCTAACCTGTAAGAACACGTTAACTAATTGAGCTAAAAATTTACAAAAGTTATTACTGGTAAGAACACTTGTAAATTTTCAGCTCTACCAATAAACGTGTTCTTCGGTAAGACGTGTAAATTTTTAGCTCTACTAATGAACGTGTTCTTACCGGTAAAAACACGTTCATTATGACTAGCGTCCTGTTTTGTTATTAATTTAAAAAATAATAATTTTAGGCCCAGTGTCTACTCATTCCTAGAATTTTTTTTAAAAAAAATTATTCCTAAATAGTAGACAAAGTGTTAGAAAAATGCATATCATAACAAGCCTCATGAGCTGTGGCCAGAA